GATACTAGAATAATGACAAAATCTGGGATGTCAAATGCATGTTCCACATCACAAAATCTAAAATATGTCCATATTCTGAGGAATACTAAATACAATAGATACTGTTTATAAAACTTTTTAAAGTGTCCCTACTGGAATATATAATTATAGGATGCTTCTCTGTAAACAGTTGATGAAATTTAACATAGTTTTTTAATATAGAGTATGGCATCTCTACAATTGTTAAAATGTACCTCATAAATATTGTCTTGCCCTCAACCCAACAGAGGTTTTCTTAATTGTTTTGTGTGATTTGTGTGTGTGTATATATGTATATATATTTTTAATTTTATGACTACTTTACCTCCATTATAAGCTATTTGCCTATTACCAAATAATATAAAAACTAAATCACAGTTCATGCTACATTAATGACAAGTATCTTATAATGATAATGCCCAGCACATAAAAAATTAGTCCTCGCTGATGAATGGTTGTTTTGCTCTCACTATGTAAGTCTTGGAAGCCATACTCCATGACCTTGGGGCTCCTGGATATGTCACTATAACAGAGCACACAATTCCTTGGAAGCATCACTTTAAAAATTACATAAGAAATGGCATCAAAAAACACATCCTCAGGCATCAAAAACACCATAGTTTTTTTTTTTGTGAAGGAATGATAACTTCTGAACAAGCACACCAAAAACAGAAAGCAGAATTGGGATGACCCCCAAAACAGCCAAAGCAACACTGTAACTTGACTTACTCCTCTTTTCTACATAAATATTTTCACTTACTGCAGACAAGAACATATTCTATGGTAGCACCTTAACTCCCTGAGGAAGGAAGTGGGGATGTTTATCCAAGAAGTCCAAACAGGAATAGCAAATATCCATCCACAAAAGCAGTAGACTGGAATATTCATATTTTAATCCCATCTATAGGAACAGCATGGATATTTGATTGATTATATGATTCCAATTATCTGAAAACCCTTCCAAAAAACTCTGACTGATCAACTATTGACAACCAATAAATGTAAAGGAACAGAAGCCCTAAAAATACTCAGAATCAGTGAAGCAAGTATACAGATGGACCAGAATAAAATGACACTAATAAAATCTTCTATCCTATTATATAAAAGGAAAGCAAAAATTATCAAGAGCATTTTCATAAAAAAGAAAACCAGGTCCTAAAAAATCATGCTATGATCATATTTTTTTCAACAAAACCACACATCATCTGCCAATTTATTATATTCATATTCTTTTTTTATACCACATGGAAAGTGCCTATTTCATTCTGGCTTTTCCTAGAATTTAATCATACTCTACACATTTCACCAACAATATGAAGATGATACACAGAACATGATGTAAAAAAGTTGGCCTATTTTTATCATGTCTACATGAAAATTATATGATTTAAAGTATCACTTGTAAAGAGGAAAATACAGCATACAATGTGAAATTTCATCTCAGTCAAATAACAACATATATACCGAATACATTCAAATATTCTCACTAGTTTTGTCAAAATTATTAACATACTTTTTCTATTGTAAGTTACAAGTCTAACCCAGTGGCTTCCACAGTGTTTGAAAACAAGCAACAGCACCATAACTTTAACTTGTTCACAGATAATCTGCTGGAAACTATTATCATACATATATTTAATGGGGTTTCCACAAAACTGTTAAGTTTCTTTAGATGTCAAAAAGATATATAACAGCGGTTATATTATATATTATATATATATATATGAAAATATATTATATATCTTAAAAAATACAACATGTAATGTTAAAAAGAAGCTTCTAACTCTGAATGCAAGCCAAAGTCATTACTGAGCACCAGCAAATTAACAATGAAATTCTCAATGAAATTAATCTTTATTGAGAATGAAGACTATTGACTAAACAACTATTTATTGAATATCTGCTGAGAGCCAGAAGTGTTAGGTACCCTGCCCTTAAGGAATTCACACACAGGCAGGGAACACATACAAAGACAAAATTACAGTACAGTGAGGTAAGGTTATCTGAGACCTCTCTGGCACATAGATGGACCCCACAGTACATGAAACAAATGGCCTTGCTTTGAGTACAGGTTGGAATGATGATGGCTGAAGATCATATCTTCTCTTGTCTAGAAACGCTAGGTACAGTGGTGGACCGTTTGGGGAAGGACTATTACAACGTTACCTCTTATCCACAGAAAAGACCACCAGAGGGTTATGGCCATATTAGTAACTTCACAAGTAACTTCCCTGTATTTAATTGGGCATATTATCAATGTGCATTTCTTGAAACACATCATTAGTAAATACCTAGAAATCAATCAGCTATGTTTGACCTCATGAAGGTGGAATTTCTAAACTTTACTTAAGAAAAATGCATAACAGTTACACTGCATTTACTCAACTACCTTAAATATTAGGAAAACATTTAAGAACTTGAAAAGTAGCAAAACAGTACATTAAGTAGGCAAAATAAATGTCAGTATCTGCTCCTTGAAACAACATACATACATACATACATATATACATACATACAGGACAGTCCCAAATTCACTCAGAAGCTATATATGTTTATTTTCAAGGTGAATCTAATAAGAAAATTAGAACTAGAAAACAAGAAAACAAAGAGCAGAGATGCATGAGCCATAAGTAATGGATTACCACTGACAAAAAGGGGGAAATTTAAAGAAATAGAACGGAAAAAACTAATAGGAGCACAAAATAGTCTGAGGCCACTCGATGCAGAGCAGATGCACAGAATAAACTTTATTGTGCTCTCTGTTTACCTTTCCCTTTCCTATTCAAACCAATAACTGTGTACAGTTACTTTCACTAATACCATACTGGTTAATCAGTATTTGTAACAAAGGACATTTTTTTTTCCCCTACAGGACACAATAGTGGTGCAGTGGGTGAAGTGAAGCGAGGGATTGCATTTAGAGGAATAGGGAGTTCTGTTTCCCATTCAATGTTCTTTCCTCTGGAAGAAGTTGGTTTTTAAAATTTGTTTGCATTTGTTAACTATGAATGCTGATTGCCCTTTCACATATCATTCTGGAAGGACCAACATTTTGAAAACTTTGAAATAATGCTATAATGATAACAAGTATAGTTAAAATATTGTTCTGAGCCATGGTGCAGGAATTTTTATATCTCAAGCTTCATAACAACTGATAACAGCAGAGTCATTGTTGTGGAGAAGAATATCTTAATGAACGAATTTCAAATGTCTACTTTTAAGAGGTGCTTTTTATGTTCATGTTGGCAGATTCCTCTGGCAACAAAGCCCACATAAGACAGTTGACATCCTTAGATTTTTAGCCCCTCTTTTCTTCTGGCTGTGGCACAATTATTTTTAGAGGTTTCTAAATGTTGTCATAAATATTTTCAGGGTTATTGACAGGTACAAGAAGAACATTAATCTCCCGTTTTTCTGATTTTGTTCCCTAACTCCTTAAAGCTGACATTTGGCTTAAAACAGGATCTCCTTTAATAGAGTTGTTAAGCACTGTTAGCACTGTCTGCCCACTGCTGCCTCATCTTCATGGGGGAATGATTAGTGCAAACACAATATAGTTATATTATCTTAAGCTATTTCTACAAAGTAGGCAGGGAAAAAATCTCCAAAATAAAAACAAAAATTTGAGCATAGATATCCTGTACCCAGTAAATGATGATGTCCACAGACCTACCTTGCAAAAGATACATTTTAAATAGCTAGAGGCTGATGTTACCCACACATTAAAATTATAGGAGTTACAGATGAAACCTATTTTTTAGGAAAAGTCAGCCTCAGAAGGATATTTACTTCTCTTAGCAGTTTCTATATCCACATCAATGAAAACATCCAAAAGGTAGTTAAGTAGGTTTAATTTCATCAAGTTGCAACTACTGTATGCTAATTGGCTTACAGACAGACAACTCATGTATATGAATCCATTCTATGTAACATGGCTGATTACATATACATGACTGATTACATATGACAATATCATAGTTGTTTTATCCTATAGTAAACCCTTTCTCCTTAAGTAATATCATCTATATGACCCTAATGTGCTATCTAAAGCCAAAATTGTAAAATGAATACCTAAATAAGAATAAAGAATCAACACTGAAATATTTCTTGGCAACCAAAAGCAATGAAGTCCTAATATACGCTACAAGAGGAAACGTTGAAAACATTATGTTAAGTCAAAGAAGCCCTTCACAAAGGCCACATATTATATGATCCCACTTACATTAAATGTCTAGAACAGCAAGTCCATGGAGACAGAAAGTAGACTAGCAGTTGCCAGAGGCAAGAGTAGTTGGGATAGGGAATAAATGCTTATGGGTACAGGGTTTCATTTTCGGGTGATGAAAATGTTCTAAAGTTTGATATGGTGATGATGCATAACTTTGGGAATATAACATAAACCACTAAACTGTACATTTTAAAAGGATAAATATTAGGCTGAATAGCTGTTACAGGATGCTCCAAATAGAGTTCTTAAATATAAGAGGACTAGACTTTCAACCACATTTATTGGCACTAAATTTTATCAAAGTGAGCTCATCTTTATATCCTAGGATTTACTTATGAAGCCTGTAAAAGTGTTTCTCTTTCACCACTTGGTTTCAAAAACACAGTCTCCTCTTACAAGAAAGAGACAGGAGTAACTTCAATGAGGGACCAAGTCACACAGTGCTGCTCTTAATGTTAAGAAAGCACCTCCTGTATCAATCCATCTAATGTAATTTATTAAGGTAACAGGCAAGCCCAAGTAAATCTTAAATCATCCATCTATTTATCAATTAAAAAAGAATTTGTGGGTACTTAATTCACAATCAACTACAGTATCAAAATCTAGATACACCTATGGCTTAGCATTAAAAAAGAATTTGTGGGTACTTAATTTACAATCAACTACAATATCAAAATCTAGATACACCTATGGCTTAGCAATGAGTGGCAATTATTAAATGAAAACAGAAAATGTTTTAAATATGGATACTGACCTTGTTTCTTTTAACCCTTCTTTCTGAATGACTTCCAATATCTGCTTTGCTGTCATTGGTGAGTTGGGGTGTTTTTCTAGTGCCTAAAATATAAACATAATATTCCTAGATTATTGCATGGCAGCATACAAAACAAAAATATACCTGAATCATGCATTCTCTGCTTATTTTATTACAGAGGAGGGGGTTTTGACATCAAAGTAACATTCCATTATACAGCTCAGGTGCCCAAAGGGAGAATGTAATCTTTTTTGGACATTTAAATCAGAAATTTCTGCAACATAAAGGGGCCATCCTTCAAAAATGTCACAAAGGCATACACACCAAAAAAGAAATGTGAACCCTAAAGAAACCAAGTTAGCAAATGTATATAGTTTCCTTTATTTAAAAAGTTTCTAATATTTTACAGTAAAAGTCATGTTTTCAGGCTGTTAAAATGTTTCCTAAGATTTCAGGTCCTTGGAATCACGGAGCCTGAATACTACCAATAGAAGAGAACAGAGTGCTGGTCACAAACAGCCTCACTGGATTCATGGCCAAAATGTTGAAAGCAGCAATACAGGAACACAAGTCACGCACTACAGTGTGTTTTCCAGTTCAGCTCAGTTTCCTTCCCTTTGCCTTTTCCGATTAATTTCAAATAAGCCCTTTCCTCTTCCCATTCAGCCTATCTCAATTGTATGAACTCAGTCCCAATCTCTTTCTCTCCTCTTCTGCCCCACTTATCTTTTGTGAAAAAGGGTTCTTTTAAACAGAGGGTAGGGAAGACACAGGATATAGCTGATTATTTCCACAGGTCTTAGACCATTAACCCTGGAAATCAGGTTCCTTTATTTTTTCCAGGGACTTAACTCCATGCGGTAGAAACAGTAAGCAGCAGTGCCCCTACTGTACACCTACATGAACTACAGATACCACATCTGGGTACAAGAAACAAGTTACACACATCTTCACAATGACCTACTCCAAGGGTTGAGGACACCTAATTAAAGATGCGATGCAGGAGCTTCATGCCCAGGTCATGGCTGCTTGTAACTGAGAGACACTAGAGTTCTGATCTGTGATTATTTACTAGAAGAATCTTAATTATTAAGAATTAACAGAGTCATTCTAAAAATATAAACCTGAAAAGGATTCCAAATCTGTTCAAACTGGCTCTGTGATCTCTTATACTGTCAATAACCAAATTTCAACTGATCACAAGTGAAGGCTCTGTTCATCAAGGCCCTTCAGTGTGTTGCACACAGCCTGCCCCTCCTAACCTTTCAGACACTTTCCTATTCTCTCCTCTCCAATTCCCAGGAAATTTCCCATTTTTCCCTATCCTGATCATCCCCTTCCTTACTCATAGCTGTAAATTCTTTCAAGAATACAGAAGTATGAGCCACACTGCAACAAGGGTATGGCAATAAGTATGGCAATGCAAAGAAGGAAAATGGTCCTTCCAGAGGACACTGTGGAGCTGAACTGAAAACTGGAAAGGGGGAAATAGAAATACAGGCAAAGTTGTATAGGGGAGAGGAATATAAACATATTGGGGAAAAGGCAATAAGGAAACTGCATAATAGAGCTGAAAAGGGGGAAAGAGTAGAGAGCACAGGGAAAAGAGGAAGAAGCTGATATGAAAACAAAAAGCTGACAGAAGTTTTAAAATAAGAACTGTAAGTAGAACAGTACATAATTATGAATTACTGAAGGGAGATGCTGTGTTCACATGGACTATATATAGGGAGGGCACTGCCTCAAATGAAAGGCAATGGGTCTCTCATAAAAGATATAGACAGGAGGTCAACAGACATAGACACACAGGAAGCAAGCAAGGAAGAAGGGAAGCTGGAGGGGAAAGCATAGGATGGCGAAAGAGGAGACACAGAGGAGGAGGGAGGGAAAGGAGGAACATTGAGCTGAACTGGGAATGTCTAAAGCCAAACTGATTAAATCTAGAAAGGGCCAAAGAAGAAACTCCAGTGTACTGGACAAGGTTTAAACGGAAATTTGGGTGCACTTGAAATTGGGGTTACTCACTGTGGAGGATTCCCTGTTTCTCTTCCTGAGTACAGGCCCCTCAGCACACCTGGGCAGCTCCTCCCAGCAATTGAGAGAATTTGGATAGCCCTGTCCCCTTCTCTATGACATCACATCCTACTCTACAAAGGAAGTAAAAGTGCCAAGAATTACATCATGAAGTGGATGAGAGGCAGGAAGAAAATGATGAAGCCACACAAAACACCAGAAGCCACCCTTAATTCCTGCAAGACAGAGAACAGAGACAGAGAAGGAGAGGTTTCTGGGTATAAACAAGCTTTACTGATTGAGCTGTGTAAACATTAATAGAACAAAAGATAATGAGAAATTATCTTCACAGAACAAAACATTGATGCCATAAAAATAATGTGACATATGGCAGAGACACGAATCAGACTCACAGACAGCCATACTTAAATACACTAAGTGGGGCAAGCCACAGGCAAAGCACAATGGCATCTTAAGCTACCAGATCCAAACTTTATACTAACTGTCCATTGCCCCAACAGTCTCTTGACCATAAGGCATTGCCTGGTCTTGCTGTTGCTTATGTTTGAGATGTTTTGACTGGAGACTTTTTTTTTTCATTGTTACATAAGCAACTATCCATCAGGCTTTTCCGTTAACTTCTACTACTTTAATGTTTAGAAATAATTCCTTTTATCCAGAGAGCATGCAAATACCTGTAAGTGTTTCTTTCAAGTACTTATTTTTTAATTCATCTTGAATTTATATTTTTGTGCCAAGGTGAAATACTGACATCTGCCCCCTCCTCCCAATAGTAAGCCTCATTTCCCCAACATAATTTGTTTCATATGCCACACATGGCTAGTGAGGCATCCTCTATCATATGTTAATGGTAGGGCAATGAAAACTTTTCAAAATGTGAAGCCTAAATATAAAAGTGGGAACCCAATATATAAAACATAGAAATGCAGAGTGCTGTTCATGTTGAGCTCGAGATGAGAGAGCTCAGATCCCCATACTTACTCCCTCTAATGGCTAACAGCACTTCTGGGAATTTTAAGAGTCTCCAGAAGAAACTGCATAACACTGTCCTTGGAGCTTGTTCAGGGGTCCCACTAGGTCCCCGATATTTCCATCAATTGCTGAGCTGGCATTACACTATTTTAATTGTTATAATATTATAATATACTTCACTCTCTGAACAGCACATTGCTCTCATTATTCCTTCTTAAGTTTCTAATTATTCCATTTATTTTTTCCAGATAAAATTGAGACTGGAATTCAATGAAACATCTAATTAAATTCTGAAGAAATTTTATACGTCATTCCACTTAAGACTTATTTTGTAACCTGTAATAAGCTATTATTCTATATTTTCAGTTGCAACTTGGAATATACTTTTTTCATATGCTATTCCCATATTCCATTGCTAAACACCACTGAATCAGAATAATCATCTATATAGTTAATTGAGTTAAGCTTTAATAGCACAGAGTATGCAATCATGTTTTCTACAAATATTGTAAACTGCTTCTCCTTTATAATAGCTGTATGCTTTATTTATCTTTCCTTCATTATTTATAATGGCTCACAACTAATCTTTCTTAGTCCACTTCAAGAAAATTTTGCTGAAAATCTGTGCATTTTACAATTCATTTCCTCAAAAACAGATCCCTAAAACTGCTGAGTCTCACTAAGAATATCTGTAGCTAGAAATATTGGAACTAGCACTGCCAAGACTGTAATTACAAACCACTGGCCACACATCACTGTCTCTTCACAAATCAGAGTCTGTCACAGTGCTCAATCTTTACATAAACTGTCCTTTCTTTCCTTGTAAAACAAATTGTTCTCTTGTGTTAAAGTTATATTTGTGATTTTACTTCACTCAATCTCTGAGATGTCTTGCATCTCTCATACACTGAAGTCTTTTCAATTCCCAGCTCTTTCTTTTGCATTTCTACACTTCACAAAAGGTTTCAAACTCAACACCGCTCTCCACAAATGGGACTCTCCATGACTGGGACACCAAGCATACACACAACTAGCTGCCTTCCTAGCGGTGGATCTGTTTTTCACAGGAGGTAAACAGATGTACAGAGCTGGCAAATACACCATTACAGTCCGCCTTCTTATCTAACTAACTCTATCGGAGCCAATATCAAAGACTACACATTCACATAGTTTTGAGGCAAGATAGTCTCATTCCAGAAACTTCCTCCCCTAGACTTCTACATGTCCTAGTATGGAAGAAAAAAATTACAAAAAAGACCTGTAACACCTGTAATACAGTTAAAGAAAAGATTGAGATGATTTGCCAAATCATTTAAGGCCAGATAAAGAACGGATTTTTCTGTCCTACGTTTGGTCCTTAAGTACCTTTCTGATTCCAGGAACACTGGCTCAAGCATTTTAAGGCTTACTCAATAATTTCTTGGTGTCTCTTTAACAGAAAACTCATTCTAAGTATCTCTAGGATAAACATTTTAAACCAGTGTTCATTTAAAGATTAAAATTTTGGCCCTTCTGGCCCTAAACAAAACTTTTTGAGAGAGCTTCCTTAATTGATGGCAAAATAAAAAATAATTCCTACAATTTAAGTGTCATTTCAATGATAGACGTTTACATTTGTGGAATTCTAAGTAGGCAGTAGTGACCGGGCTTTCTCCCTTCTTCTAACATTGTGTCATCTTCCCTTAATCAATACTGGCAGTTCATTAAAGTGTTCAGATGTTTAGAGCCTCATCACTGAGGTAAACGATTTGGGGGTTATAGCAACAATAAACCTTTATACATCTCTTTACAATTACAGACAACTTTTATACAACATATTTTACTTTCCTTGCTTCACACAATATATATTATTTTATTTGATCCTCAAAACAGCTTAGTGAGATGCAAACAGAAGGATTATTAACATTCTCTGAAATGTACAAAGTTGTATAGGCCTGAGGCCATAAAGCTAGTGAGTAGATGAACAGACTTGTACGCATGATGCTCTTGATGACAATGTTTAAATATAATAAAAGCAGCTAATATTTATTAGACAACTCCTGTGAGCTAAATCCTGTCTAGGGGTTTTCCATTATTA